GAAAATGTTGGAAAGGGGTTGTGCTTCGTCCTGAGAGCATGTAGGCGTGCTGAAATCTTGCCACCTTGATCGTTGAGGACGAAAGTGTGCAAGGGCTGGAAGCTTTGTTGCAGTTTGTACGGATAACCGTGATGGGGCTCTGGTTTTTGAAGTGATGGTACATGCCAATAGGAAGCTTGGGCGCAAGCATGCTGAACAGCACCCAGTAGGCACTGCTTGCGGCTTGCGAGATTAGCCACAACCATTGCCAGCTTAATTTCAGGGTAAGAACGGCTAGTCAGTATTGGGGCTCCTGCTACAAAGGGAGCGTGAGATATCGATTTGGAATTCATTGCAATATGGCTACGTCTCAGGGACCTGTACCATATGGGACTCAGAGTTCAGAATCCCGAAGCAATCACAATCCATCCACAGACAGAGCGGTTTCATCAACAGGGTGAGGAGAGGGTCTTCAAGTCACACATACCGCAGAAGCCCCTATGTACCTTTGCCAGTCGACTTCTTCCACCGAACGGTCAGCGCTATGATGTAAGGTTTAGGATCTGGCCGCCTCGCGAAACACTTCCAATCTATTGCCCCGCAGATCCCTAAACACTAAACACCTATAGTCCTTTCATGATTGCGAGACCTTGGTTCAGCCTACGCGGGATAGGAATGCATGTAGCCTTCAACTCGCACTTTGAACCCAGGTTTTGGGTTCAGTTGTTGGGCTGATGACGGTTATCCCTGTCCTTCACACGCTTCTGTATGCCGCATCCTACAGGTCCTGGCTTGAGCCCTGAGCACAAACAATGGTTATAGGGGGTTATATAGGGTTTAGGGTTTAGGGTTTAGGGGTTAATACCTAGACTCGGACATGGCCGCTGCTATCGTCATAGCGCTTGTCCTGTCATCTTCGCAGACTCTTTCACAGGAGCGCGTGCTCTACCGATTGCTGAGTGGGTGGCACGCTTCTACATCCCTCTCCATTGCGAAAAACTATTATGCACCAGGACGCCCAAACCATAATCTTCCATGCTCTAGTCGTAAACTTCAAATACGGTCTGGGGTTTAGGGTTTGCTCCAACCTTGTCCCAAACAGGAACTCATATCTGGGGTTGCAGCGCTGATGGTTGTAGTTGCGGTCTTTGTTTCATGTCAAGGTTCCAAGCCACTACAGATTCTGAGTCTCGAAGTTCTTTGGTGGCAGGAGGGTAAGGCTTGTTCGAGAAGCGTTATCAGCTGAGCTTTCCTGTGCTTGTGTAGCCCTTGCAGATTTGGTTAGCTGAGGATTCCACGGAGAATGTTGGAAGTATGGGCCTCTTGGAACCTCTCTACCCTTAACCCTAAACCGTGTTCATTTTGGGTTGGTCTTCATCAAGGAGTCCTGTTGAATCTAGGGCCGTCTCAGGAGAATTTGCAGATCCTAGCGGCTCCGTTCTGATCTAAGATGTACCAATCTCAAGCCTGAACCTAGCGCCCAAAGCATCTGGCAAGTTACTTCCGGGATCTCCACAAACCCTAAACTTACTGGTTCTTAGTAGGGAATAAGGGAATAGAATCCCTATACAACCCCTAGAAAGTGTTATCCCATATTCCCTATTAACCTCCAGTAAGTAAACCCTAAAAGCAACTACAGTACTCTTTGGGGAGCAACCCTGATTGTCTTACTGAGGATGAGTAGGGCATGAAAGAACGGTGACAGCAAGAAGATTGGCGATTCTTTACGGACTACATCAAGATACTATAATAGTTTCCATGTTCTCAAAAGCTTTGGTCACCTCAAGCTTCAAGGTCTGCAGCCTCAGTCCTGGGTTTAGGGTTTTGCACTCTATCATGATGAGAAGTGCCCAATCATGTAAGTTTAAGGTTTTGGCCCAATCCTGTTGTCACACTTCGGAGCGGTTTGTTTTCGGTCCGATACCCATGTCCACTTTTGGCTGTCAATCTTTTGGGATCTGGCCTGGAGAAGCAGGGGCCACAATCCTAAACCCTGCTATAGGTGCCTCACTAATGACAATATCATGTTCGAGATTCCTTGTATGACCATGGTACAGGGTACATCAGAATGATATTGGAAGCTGTCTAGGCCGTTAGGCCCAAAGCCAAGTAATTTGCATTTAGACCTTCATTGTCTCCTTTCAATGCTGTTTCCTGCCTGTCACGCGAATCTCCGAACTCGGGGCCCGCTCTCGAACAAACGACGATGCGACTAGCCCTGGTTTTGCAATCCTAACAGGCTTAAACATCGGTTGTGATAGAAATTCTATTCTTCTTTTTGCGTGCATAGCAATCTGAAGCTGTTCGTTCATAACTTCGATGACTTGTTCACGTATAGGACTGTGGTTACAGTAGTTCACTGTTGTGTTGGCCCATGCACAGGAACCAAACAAAAAGGCGCTTGGTCTCCGAACTTAGTGTCGCGGCCGCGAAACGGGGTAAGAAAGGCATCAGGAGGGGTAGGTGTTGTTGGTGACGTTCACGACAGCAGTCATAGCAGGTGTGAGTGTTTCAGTTGGTTGTGAGGTCGTATGGATTCTGGAATATGAAGTTTTCAACTTGCATATTTTGATGGCTAGTCTCTCCGCAAGTGTGAATGTGATTCTGGTCTCTCTTGTGGATCCAAGAACTGCACCAGCGTAGGAGTAACCGGAAACTCTTTTCACCAATGCTCTCAATGCAACGATGCGCTATCATGGGTTAGTTGCAAGTTGATTGCAACGGAGAAAGCCACCCCTGCCCAAGCTTTTGTTTCCGTGGAAACTACGCGCTTATTGAAATAGTGTTGGTCTTGTAGGAGATTGGCAGGAGCCATACATTGTATGCTGAAGAACGTTTAGATTCATTCATCCTAAGCCGCTGGCGTACTTATTTCCATTCAGGAAAGACTCATTGGAAGTGGCTTAAGCAGTATATCATAGCAGCCGGGAGTAATTCATAGTATGTTGTAGCATATGCTAGTAACTGCTAGTATGTTCTACTACACTCAGAAGTTGACTCCCGACTTAACCTGCACATATTGTGTTGCTGTGTCTTTTGCATCCAGCATAGGAACATCCAACCTCTTGCGCTCTGCAAGTGGAATCTCAATCTCAGGAATCTATTGAAATAACAATATTATAACATGTTATAATTGGTTGTAGCAAGCTTTATTATGCTACACTTCACTAGGACATATCGGAATGGACCGGTTCTATGACATGTGAACTTCGTGAAGGAAGTAGAAAATACCCGTCGCATGGCTGAAAATCTGATGACTCCCTGGCAGTCATTTTCTATCCCTCTATGTTTTCTACGCCCTGCAACCCAGTTTTGGTCTGTTCTAGCATAGAACATTTTTTTGTAGTATTGTATGGATCTACTGCTATACTATACTACCTTGAAGTAAACTTTAGTATTCTATAGCACATTAGGTAAATCAAAGTATACTATGGCTCATTATAGGTGATCGTGTATTATAGTATCTTTAGTATATTAAAGTAGTTTCGCGTCTGAGATTATGTCTCATCCCGAGCATCTGAAGGAACGCTTCATGAAAGACATTGGGGAGCACCCAGAGCGAGTAAAGAGACTCGAACTGCAAGTTCCATGCTCTGCAGAACTTGGATTTTCAAAAGATTTTGGGGTTTAGAGTTTAGGGGTTTAGGTTTGTCCCCTTGGCCCTACGCGCGACTATGAGTTCTCTATGAGGTCCGGGACACCATTTGCTTGGCCTCTATGCCCCAAAACATGTCACAATCCCAGTGGGACTGAAACCGGAAAGCCGTGCATCTTCCGGCATCAGATTGGCATCCGGCTTTTTTCGGGATTGCAGTTGCCATAACTGGCCCTAATTGAAAGATGTTTGCTAAGACTCAGGATAAAAGTTCTGGCAGTCAAAGAGCAAAGAGCCAACAGCCACGAGCTATAACGGTCATAAAACGGTGAAGGGCTTTTGCTTGCTCATCTCATGAAATTTGGCAGAACATGGCTTCAACACCAAGCACAAACTTCGACCCCAAACCTTTGAATCCAAGCCAGAGATGTCATGGAGTCCAACAGCCAATTCATGTTTTGTTGCACGTTGGCTTTCGGCTATTGGTGCACACCATCCCTGAACACCTTTCCCCCGTCCCCCCAACACCTCCCCCGCCCCCCCACACCTCCCCCCTTTGCACCTTAGGAATTTTTCGGCCCTTCTTGAAAGAAGCCAAAACCGGAACAGAGCTTCCAAAAATCTTTGGCTCTTCGACGTCCCTAAAGCCCGAAGATAAGAGGAATCTCCACTTCTCCTTCGTGGTCCTTCTCCGCGCCGTGAAGAGGGCTCGGGTCAAACGATTGTGTAGGGTCCACTAGTCCACTATTCCTTCTGGCTGTAGAGCGCTTCGAAAGGTATGCAGAGCTATGAGTTCTTTTTTCAAGCATGGTGAAGATTAGCTGATTAGAGTCCTCAAAAGTAGGCATCCACCCACTTAATCAGCAGGAGGTTCAGGTTGGAAGTACATGTCCTTGCGGTCCTTGGTTGTTCAGGCTGTTGATGATGGACATCGACGTCCAGGGTGGTCTCGTTCCTATGATTTGGGGTTACGGTGTTTGGCGAGGGTATGGAGGGTGCGGGAGGCAGGGCGGCTTATTGTCCGCTACGCTGTGCGCGACCTAGTGCTTAGCACTCTCAGCAAAGGGCTCTGGGGCGATGCTTTTCTGCATCTTTTCGGGGTGATTTTAGATTAGCTTGCCTCGCAGCTTGACGACCTGTAAGGACTCTTTTGTAGAGCCGCTTGACAAGTCACCAGTCCCCATCCAAGTCCGAAAAATCTGATGGAGCTTTTACGAAGATGAAAACATATCCAGCTTTTCGGAATTCCTTTCGGAGACCCGCCCAAGAGTTTTGCCGGTTTTGTAGAAGTTTATGTATGCTTGTGGCAGGCTGCGCCGTACCTGCAAAGCTATTCATTCAACACTGGCGATGAGAAGGAAGACGGCATGACCAAGGTTGGGCGAACCTGAAGGTACATTCCGTCCTAGTCTCACCGTCGTCATCATCATCATTACCATCTTCATTCATCAGCAACAGATGTTGCTGTTGACACGGCTTTTGCAGCTGCTATTTAGTACCCTGCTACCTGCAAGGCCTGTTTCAACAAGGATGACAGCACTACCCACCTGTACACCTTCCTGCTATCTTTTGTATTGTTGCTGGTGTTCCTGCGGTTGCTGCAGCGATTCCTACCACTGCCATCGCCGGCTGCGAAGCCGACAGCGCCGCTGCTGCCCCCGCCTCCGCCTCTGCGCCCCCGCTGCCGCACCACAACAGAGCGAACTTCTTTCGCGTTAAAGCTGCTACTACGGTTTTTGCGGGTGACATACGCTACAACATTTCAAGAACCTTAACGCAATTGCCAACAATGAATTCCCTTCTTTTTGTTGCTGGTACGGCCACTACACCACGATGAACAACAAATGCTTCTTTCATTATGACGACAGCCAAAAGTACCGCAAGTTCATTTCCTGCTACTGCTGCTACTAATACTATTACGACAGTTATAGCCTACCACTGCACTTGCATCAGCCACCAACACCGTCAGCAATCAGCATGAGCGAGACCAGCTCCACCAAAGTCAAGAGGAGCAGAGGCACCATGGCGACTATCCCAATTTCTGTTACCATTGTACTACTTTGATTGCAGCTATTGCGACTACGACCAAGATTACACCTAGTGGTACAGAACGGGAAATTTCGGCCACGGTGTGCTGTTAAACAAAGCGATGCCACCATTGCAACAGCTGCTGGGCATCCACAGCGGTCTGAACAGTGCTTAGCCTGGCCCCGAAGCTCTCCTGTCGCACATCAAGTGCAGATCCACAGGCATCACGTGCCGGCATAGGCGGCAACAGACTTGCCCAGAATGGGGTAGGGCCAACAAGCCGAGTGCAAGGGTTCGTAGAAGCGGGGCGCTTAACATTCTGTCAGTCACCCCAGGCGGATCGAAATCCGCAGCTAAGTGCATGGGAAGACACTCCCGCGACCTATTGAAATGCCGGCGCAAGCGGTCCCTTGTCCAAAATTCCAAACGACAGCACTCGCAAGCCGTTCCTAAAGCCGCAGCAGATAGGTCAGCGATCAAACCATGTGCAGTTGACCTATGGGCAGCCAGTGCTGTGGCATCCGTAAAAGATCCTCCACAACCTTCACACGCGTGATTGTAACGTAACACACCGTCATTGTCACGGTTCACAAGCGTGCCATGCAACTCAAGATGCTGCACGAGACAAGCTTTAGCCACTGCTGTGTCAGCCCTGGCCCGGCCATCTGCCAGACGTAGTGGTTTGGGTTGTGGTTGTGGTAGTCATTGTCGTCGTCGCTCAGATATTGCTGCTATGACTATGACCACTAGTACCGCTGTACTGCTGTTGCACTTCTTTCATGCTGGGTTCTTCTAGAACTATCCACCACCGCCTCCCGCTTCCCCTCCCTTTGGCTGAAAGCCTCGTGGCCTAAGCGTTTGCAGGGGCACTGCACATGTTGCACAAGCGGACTCTGAACACCTTTAGCCGGCCCACCCACCTCCTGAAGCTTAAAGCTTATGCATCCTCAGTTGCTGATGTCGCGGCTCCTGGACTCACAGCTGCTGTCGCTGTGTTCTCCACTCTTTGAGGCCCTAGGGTGCAGTAGCTCTTCATAAGCCGTAATCTAAACTCCTTAAAGGGGTCTTATATATGGATTATATAGGGGAGTATTATAGGCTAGGCGTTATTAATGGGGCTACTAGGAGTTTAGACTATAGCTGTCATATTCGAGGCTACGGTAAGGTTTGCCTACTACTGACTTGGGTGTTGACAGACTTACATCAGGTCTCACCTAAATCCACCTCAAGCCGCCAGGATCATGTAATGATCATCTCATATCTTGAAAGGCTTCTCCCCCTCCCCTACACCCCTCCCCCCCCTCCCTTAGCACTTGGGTCTGAGGTGAGGATCCATCATTTGACGCGTGCTGACCTTGTGAGCTCTTCCCATACTTGCGGCTTCCAGTCCAGAAACTTTGCTAATTTCTACATCGCACTGACCGCCATGGATTTTGCAAACAAGGTAGCATATTAGGAATCAGTCGAGCCTCATTGAGGATTCCGGAGGATTGCCACACATCCCCTAACCCTAAACCTTAAACCCCAAAGCCTTAACCTTAGACCCAAAACCGTATCCTGACTGCGACTACCTTGAAGCCATAGCATGCCTACTGTTTAGACCTGGGGGGCCTGCATCCTGAACCGCTTGAGGCGGCAACATTTTACATATAATCCCGCACCTCTCAGAATCAATGCTCCCCATGTAATGCTATCAGCAATACTTATTATCAGCGGGGTGGGGAGACTTGTTACAAGGGGGAGGTGATTCGCATATTTACAAATTTCTTTTATGCGCATAGAACATACATATTTGCAGGCCTTTGACGAGACGAGATTGTTCAATGCTCCCTCCGAGCAGCGAAGTTTGCTGAAAAGGCAATTCAAGCGGCCTGGCCCCCAAATTCTAGGGTCAATTGATTTGAGGTTTCCATGGTTTGGAGTCTCTAGTGTGACGTTGAGCAACATCTTACCTCTTATGTATGTCCGAACCCAACATAGTAGTACCTCAAGAATGCTGGAGGTTCAGGATCTGAGACTTGACTAGGGTTTCAGACATGGCAGTTCCGTCAGGTGCTCAAATGAACGATGTTGAAACACAGGGACGGGGTTATATACTACCCCAATAATGGAGAATCAAATGGAAAAGAAAATGCAAAATGAAATGGAAACTGGGGGAATATAGGGGTTATAGGGAATGTCCGTGAAGTTTACAAGGCCCGCCTTTACGAACGCAAGCGAGTGAGTTTCTGAAACCAATCCCAGGAGGCTCCTCAGCAAAGTCCTTCAGGGGGTGCTATTGGTGTTATATTGGGATACTGGAAAAGAGAATGGAAACTACAGGGTTTGTAGGGGTTATATAGGGATTATATAGGGATTATAGGGTATATATTGGGGTTATATTGGGATACTGGAAAAGAAAATGGAAACTAATATAGTATATTAGGGTTATATATGGATAATGGAAAAGAAAATGGAAACTACTGTAGAATCACTTTTCACTCCTTCTACAGGACTAAGATTGCCAAGGCCCCTTGTTTTGAAAAATCATAGATTGGAAGGGTACCTGGAAGCTTCGATGAAGCTTCTATCAAGGAGAACCAGGAAGCTAAGGCTTAGAGGCTTAGGGTCAGACCTTGAAGTCAGACTCGGAAGGAACTTTGAAAGCTAGCCGTTGCATGCTTCAAGATAATTGAGTTGTGGGAACCTCCCAACCATGCACCCAACCATTGCCCTGATCCCCATGTCAGTTGCCGAGGAGGAGTCATGACTGTTGGAGGAATTATATAGGGGCCTAAATAATTACCATGGTCCCATATTCCCCGTATCTGGTCTATGGTACCTCAAATGGACCTCAACATGATATTGGTAATTATTTAGGCGCCTGTAGTAGGGTCGCTGTCTAAGGAGTGTCTTCCGAAATATCACTGCGCCTTTGCCGCAGTTTGCATGAGGGAGTGGTTGACTTTGGGCACTGGGGTTAATGTCAATATCGGATCACAACATTCGCTGCTTCAGTTCTCATGGAAATGGAAAATTGTGTTTGAGTCAGTGTTCAAAGGCAATCTGCTCTACGTAGCACTCGCCTTGACAATTCGTCGCAGCTACATGGAGCACGCTGGATGTATTTTCCAAGAGCTAGAGGAAAAGATGCCCCATCCCATTACCTCTTATATAACCCTTACATAGTGCTGATGCACCACATATGGCTACGTAGCCTCCCATTTTACTTCCTTTAAGCTACGGGTTCTCCAATAATGGTCCCTTCCGAAGCCCTCAGATATTGGCAATCCTTTTTTTGGTGATCGAAGTGGGTTTCCGATAGGGTTTAGGGTTTAGGGTTTAGGGAATTCGAAGATCTAGATTGCAGTGGAAACACGGCTTCTGGGGATTGCATGCCGTAGATTTGTGATCACGGTGCAGGTGTCTGAGTTATCCTAAACCCAAAGCCCTGAACCCTAAACCCGAAGCCCTAAACCCATTATAACCCTAATACCCCAAACCCTAAACCCCAAACTCAATCGGAATTGGTTCTCTGAGCCCGCAACCTGAACCATTTCGAAGAACGGCCCCGACGACTGGTTCTGAGATTGACATGAGCTATAGTCTAAACTCCTCAAGGGGCTTATTTCGGGGATAATATAGGGGAGTGTTATAGGGATTATTCAGGGGGATGCTAGGAGTTTAGACTGTAACTCACATGGGTTTAGGTCTGAAGGTCCATGTTGACACTTTGGCTCTGTTCCTATGTCTGCTCCGTCCTCTTGTATCGCCCATACGCCGAGGGTTTATGGAGTATCCCTTTGTTGAGAACTAATTGCTTCATCCTTATTTTGTGAACTAACTGCTTCAGCTCACAGAAATGCTGCTTGAGCGCGCTCTGGAAGGGCAGGGAAGCGGCATTCTCAAAAAAGGCGCTCCCACGGGCCTCAGACATGTTTGGGGACTGGTGCCCTTTAGGGGTTGTATAGGAATGATCTGAAGAATCTCCCATATGCTCCAAGCGACAGGAGGGTCAGTGCTACAGGTATACCAAATGGCGCAAGATATCCTTCGCCAGCAGTATCAGGCCCCCAAAGGCATCCGTCAAGACGTCGAAGTAAACCCGCCGAGAGCCCTGCATGAGTCGATGGCCTATGCCAGTTCTTTGTGGATCGAAAAGTCCAAGGCTCACTTGAAACACTCCAAAACAGAAGAGACCCGTCCCAAAATTCCAAACCCCAAACCAGGAGAAGGGTCCCCTGCACAGGAGCTTGTGGACTGCGTCCAATGCCAGCGCTGCCGCCTTCATGCCAAGCTTTTCTCTCTGGGGCTGGGCACTGATGCTTGGATAGTTTTATTGCCAATTCCCGCAAGGATGCACCGTGCCGATTAATGTGCAGCTGTGACTTTGGGAGTTTTAACCTGAAGGACTGGTAAATCAATGAAAAACATTGGGCTGACTCTTCGTATCCTTTCGCAGCTTTTGCCACTGCTAGCCTTTTTTGGGCTTCGTATCCTCTGTTCAGGCCAGGCTTGCAGAACAGAAGTTTGGGGTCTCATGATGGTTTGGGGTTGAGGGTTGTGCGGAACCATTGGGCGGCCCTATCTACGTCCGAGAGCCAGGGTGCCCTCGCACACCATGCAGATTTTCGCTTTGCACTTCCGGCCTTTAAGCGCTAGAAGCCTGACCCCGACTGAATACCGAGCCTGCTCCAATTTCAGGTTGCCCCTGCCAGACATGTTCCTGCATGATCAGCATAACAGCCTCTGGCGTAAAGGGATATGACTGCAAACTGGCTATTGCACAGACTGTCTGCAAGCCTCAGCTGCAAGAAATCCTACACACGTAGAAAAGCCCCCCTGAACTCGCACAAGAAGTCCTTGAGACCACCTTGCACCCAAAGCTCCAACCCAGGCGCTGAAGATCTTGCTGTCCCCGCCAGATCTCATTGCTAGCTCGACTTCTCGTGACGATGTTGTTGCGCTGGTAGCCCTGCAGCATGGCGTAGGGGGCAGTCGGTCGGCCCGAAGCCCCTTTTCTGCCCAACCCTTTGACCCTGTAGTTCCTGCATAATGGTAGAGTTCAACATACTACGTAGGGCTTCAGGTGCTTCGGATTTGTCAGTCGAATTATGAATCTAGGGGGCTCGGGCCTTCTGGTTGATCGTTGCGAGTTGAGGCGGCAGCTTTCAGTTTAGAGCTCGGAGCAATGGAGTGTTTGGGTTTCGGGATCAGTTTGTGCTATCGGTGTGATCTGCGCGCCCGTGCGTTACCGTGCGTTTATGAGCTTTGGACGCACGCAGGCACTCTAGTCGTCAAATTCTCATATTTATGCCGCAGCTCGTGTCGATACCATGCCTGTTCATGCCTCCTAAAGGCCTGGGTCTATGTTGTTCCAGCTGTGGAGTGCTGGTAAGAGGCGGCATCATGCGCACGCAACCTTGCTTGGCTCGAGGGTTCTAGCAGTAAGTTGTTCGTGAGAGTTCTGGTTCAGGGGCCTTATGCCTGTGCCCCACGTACCTGCATCCAAAATCATGGTGGTCCATGCTGTGCTGGAGATGCATCCCAATTCCCAGCCCAGTAAACATTATCGCCCCTCGGCCTGTGCACAAATCTACTGTGCTTACCGCATGTCCCAACGAAGACCAGCTTCATTCGCAAGCCGTACGCTAATGGTCCTTCGCAAGGGATTTGCGCCAGGAAGTACACCGTGAACTTCAACTGCCACGCATTTTCTGCTTTTCCTGCCAATGATGTCTCAAGTCACTGCTTGGTTTGTTATGTTGAGGTCAGATGTTGGGATGTAAGATGCTGGCTGTAGAGATCGGGAACAAGGCAGGAGTACACGGCGTCTAAACCCAAAACCCACAAGCCCGGATCTTTGGACCCGCAGTGTGGAGCCCACTGCACCGATGCTAAAGTGCTTGACTGGCCAGACTGGTTGGCTGTCCGAATCATCTGCTGGTTTCGAAGTGTAAATGTTAAAAAACGAAGCCAGTGGCTGATTTGGAAGCGGTTGCGAAGTTGCCGTCATCACGACGCCTATCTACGAGGGAGAGGTCATCGTTTGGCTAGCTCCAAAATACCCTAAACCCTACACCACCCCCAAACCCGAAACCCGTAAACCTCTAAACCCTAAGTAGTAGTATGCATTGTCTTTTCCATTATCCCTATTTTACTTGTACAGTATACCCTATATTCAGGTCAATGTCCTCTGGAAGCTGTCTGACGCGATGGAGGCCGGCATGAGGTTTCGAGCTTTCAGGAACAACATACGCGTCTTCATCCCTGAGTCCTCAATGTGCTTTGGGTTTAGGTTTTAGGGTGTTATAATAGGGGCTATATAGGGATAATTGAAAATGTAATGGAAATTGCTATCTTCTGTTTAGGGTTTAGGGTTCTTAGGGAGGTCCTGAAGTCTTAGGGGCCCAACTATTACTATTGCTACCAATACTAATATTAATTGCATTAATAATAGTATCATTATCGGTATCAATACGGTTATTATTCGCACCATTGTTATCATTCTTATTTTTATTTATCTCATTTTTTCATTCTAGTAATACTATTACCATGATTACCATGATTGTTTCTTATTCTAGGTTTCCACTTGTGATTTGTTGGGCTGCCCATCAGGCTGAAGGCACTTTGGTTTTGCAGTTTGCTGGCATATTAAGGCTTCGTTGAGAGTAGTTGCGTATGAACATCGCCGAGGCGAGAACTTTAAAAAACATATTAAACGCACCGACACCGCAGTGTCAACAGGACAATAGGCGGTGGTTGCCGAGGGTTCAAGCACTGTGTGAAGCGTGCACGTGCACTCTGAAGTCCTGAATCCCTGCATATGCAGATGTGCCTAAAACCCTCGCTGTTGGAAGTCTCAGGTATCGTACTTCCTGGCTGCCGATCCTGTCAGTCTGTCACTTGCAAGGGATTCGTGTAGAATTCATTGGTTTATTTACTTCCGGCGAGATAGTCAGCGATAGAGACAGTGATTCAGGGTAGTACTTAATCTTGACATACATCCACCGGCTTAACATGCTGCAACACTGGCTGCGCAAGCTTCCAGCGCTGCTCCATGCGCAGGATGTGCGAAGCCTGACACAGCAGTACTACAAGGCATTGGGGGAGGATTGGGTACTTCAGTACCTCTGTTGTGAACGTCGAAAGGGGCCATCCAGCAAAGAAACATGAAAAAGGTCCTATTCAGGAACATGGTCCTAATTGGAGTCATGTGAACAACAAGATGTCACCAACCAGATCAAGCACAGATGAAGTCATGCGTCCTTGGCACTTCTAGGGGATCCCTTGCTTCCACCTGGGTTGCTGTTCAGGAACTTAAATTAAGTTACCATAACATGGGTATATCGTACATAATGGGGTTTCCTTACTATGACCTATTGTAAGTTCCTTAATAGTAACGGAGCCATTGTGGTGTGTGATTATGGTTTCACGCCCGGGACGTACTGTACAGGCTCATGGCAAATAGGTAATTATTCGTTTTAGTTTTCAAATATTTGTATTGGTACTAGTCTATTGTTAATATTAGTGGTATCCCTAATCTTGTCAGTATTCTTGTCAATAATATTATTGGTATTCCTAATAGTGTTAGTGCTTGACATGACAGTGCTGTACATGTCATGAGAGCACAATGCAGGCACGTGCTGACCCTGCAGCCGATTTCAAGTCTTAGAGCAGGTAGCTTGTAAGCCTCCAACTCTAGACAGTGATGGGGTAGTGAGATTGTACAGTAATCTAAGTACTAGTTTACAGCTGTAAAATCTACAGGACTTACACCTTTTGTGTGGCGCGTTGTAGTAACAAGAGTGCCTCCGCTCGTTCCATGTCCCTTCCTGCTTCAAGCAGGTGATGAGCCCAAGCCTGCTACCTCCGCTATAAGGTTGCGTGGAGTGGTTGGCTGCCATGTCTGGTCAAGATCACAGTGTTAGTGGTCCACCCGGACGAAGAAGGTTCAATAGCTGAAGATGACGAAGAGGACGTCGTCTGGCAAGTCGACGAGAACGAGGCGTCCGTCGCTCGACGCTTTCAACGTCGACTGCAGCTCAGGCGTGCTGGTAAAGGCCGCCGAAAAGGCAAGGGCCACAGACGTGGACGCTTTAGGTCCAATCGGAAAGGTTCTTCTCACACCGCCAAAGACGACAGCCAAAACTCCAGCTTCTATGAAAAGGAAAAGGTAAGGGCAAAAACAAATGGAAGGGCCGAAAAGAAGAAGCTGATTTTGCAAAGGGCAAAGGAAAAGGCAAAAAGAAAGGCAAGAGAAAAGGCCAACCCTTTGCCAGCAGCAACAGCCGCATCTTCCACAGAGGATTGGAGTTGGTACGCAGAGGAATCCTGGCTGCCGTGCTGCCGTGGGAAGAAGGAGCGGATCTTGCAACGCATGAAACCAGTAAACGCAAGAAGAAACCTCACCGAGGTAAAAAGAAATGCAAAAAGCTATGCAACAGCCGAGGAAGTGGCACAGAGGGACCAGTGCACTTAAAACCGGATCCAGAAAAGGATATTCCGGAATGCATAGCCAGCGCATCCTCAGTTGATGTCGCTCAAACCCGGAAAAATGCCCGAAAAAAATTCCGAACTATCGGAATTTTGTGCAGCTAACGTGGTCTTTGCAGACCATGTAACCACATTCTCGGTCAGCTTTTCATCCCTTATCAGTTTGAACACTCATCCAAACTACGCACGCTATGGGCAACCGATATGCCATTGAAACGTTGCAGAGGTATGGGGAGAAAAATTGTCCTGGTAGGACACACTTCACATATGCCCAGCTCACAAAGCGCAAGGATTTCAGAATAGGTTACTCTATGGTTTGACACACAGCTTCCGGCCAATACAACCATAGAAGTCCTTGACGAAGGCAGGGTGCCCATCCTTTTCAGTATCCAGCAAATGCGTAACTTGCGCATGACACTGGAACATGCCCCCACGGCGGACTTTGCTACTTGCGAACCATCTGGTCTGAATAGAACCGTATTATCGGTCAGTACCAAATCATCTAATCCTCGATCTTCTGTGCTTCGCTCGCAGTCCCTCTTATCATATGCGGGATGAGGAACAAACGAGTTTCAGAGCTACTTAGCTCGATAATGACACAGAAGAATCCACACTAGCGGATGAAGAAGCCCTAGCTGGAAGAGGTCGTCCACGCAAGCCAGAAATTAAGTGCAAAAACTGTCTTGGGAATCCTAAAGCAGGACACTCCTGGGACAAGCGCTGTAAATTTTTCCTTCCTGGCAAAAACTGTTCACGAGATGAAGTCCAAGCTTGAGAGCGATAAAGCTAAAATCCGTGAGGCCAAGAAGAAGGAAAAAGCTGATCGTACCAAGGATTCTGACAAGCGTGCTACATCCCAAGCCAGGAAACCTGTTTGAG